AGGGGGAGGGGGAAGAGGTCCAGGTGAGGGGGGTGGCTGGCGGCAGGGGCGGCCGGGGTGGCACGCGCGGAAGAAGAAGAAGAGAGAAGTCAACATGGAAGGGAGGAGACAGATCAGACGGCTCTAGTTGGCTGCATCGGGCGGCCGAGGCGCGAACGGCCGAAACTGTTCGGCCGGCGCGCCGGCGCTTAGGGCATCTCCAGCCGTTGGCCCCCAGGAGGGGCAAAGAATTGCCCCCTGGGGGCGCACCGGCGCTAAACCGCGCACTGGGGGCGTGATGCCCCCAATCGCGCCCCCACGGGTTTTTAAAATGTTCAAATTCGGCGCAAACACAACGTAAACATGGGCGAGTTCGTTCAAATTTAAACATATTTTACAAAAAAAGAAAAAAAACTACCGCGGGCTACCCCCGCCGTCTCCCTCGCCGCCCGCCTCGCCGCCCGCCCACGCGGTTCTACATGCCGAGGAGGCTGTAGAACCGCGTGTAGTCACCGCCGTCGCCGTCGTCGTCGCCCCCGCCTATGCCTCCGCCGTCCCTGCTGCATCCCTCCCCTAGTTGGCGCGGCGGGTTGGACGGTCCGGGGGCGTCGTCGTCGTTGCTATCGAGGACGATGACACCGTCCCCGTCCTCGCGCCCACGTTTGCGGGCGGCGATCTCCTCCAGGGCCCGGCGCTGCCGGACCATATCCTCGCGCACGTAGTCGTCGCGCGACCACCGCATGGCGTCCTCGTCGGAGAAGCCGCGTTGGGCTATCTCCTCGTACTCCAGGGGGAGGCTGGACTCCACCTTGGGCTCGACGAGGGCGCCGGAGCTGCGGGTACGCGCGCTGACAGGCGTGTCCTGGGGCTCCGGGTTGACGGGGCGGAGGTGGAGGCAGGGACAGCCGCCGGAGCTACGGGTACGCGCGCTGACAGGCGTGTCCTGGGGCTCCGGCTTGACGGGGCGGAGGTGGAGGCAGGGAGAGCCGCCGGACGAGGAGGAGGACGCCCCGGTCTCCATGCGCCTCGGCGTCCAGGAGCTTCCCCGGCGGCGTGAGAAGGACGGGGGAGCAGGATACTCGAGGCGCGGCGTGTTGCCGCCCTCGATGTACTCGAGGACGGCCTTCAACGTGCGGCCGGGCACGCCCCACCACCGGCGCCGGCCATCGGAGTTGAGCCTGCCGGAGGGTACGACGCCGTTGGTGGCCTCGAGCTGCTCAGCGTGACGGTGGCGGAAATAGGGCTCCCAGAGCGGGCTGTCGGGGACGTACCGTGGCCCCTCCCTCGCCGCCCGCGGCAGGGACACGCGGATGCGTGCAATCTCCGCACGCCGCGTCGCCCCGGTGGGTGGTGGTGGCACCGGCACGCCGCCGGCGCTGATCCTCCAAGCCCCGGACACCCGCATGTCCGGCGGGACCAGGTACTCGGCCTCGAAAAGGAGGCGAGCCTCGTCCTCGTGCAGATGACGGCGCCCGAATCCGTTCGCCGCCGCGCCGTCGCCTGGGAAACGCTCGGCCATGCTTTCTCAACTGGTGACGGCGAGAGGAGGAAAGGGGGAGAAATGAGCGCGTCGTCGGTGGATGATCGGGGTGAGTCTCTCCGGCGCGCTTGCAGTCGGCTTTTATAGGCGGAGGCGCCGCGTGGTAGGCTTGGCCGGCGCGTTACGCGTGGCGTGATTGCGTGGCGACCGAGGGACGCGCCGCCCAGCCTTCACTGCGCCGCCCGTGAGGCATCAATGGAGGCTGACCGGTGCGGCAGCGCGCGGCAGCTTTGGCATTGATTCGCCGCGGGAAACAAGGCGATGAGGACGACGAAGGGGCGAGAAGAGGGTAGAGTCGCTGACGTGGCGGGCCCGCGGCTCTTCGCGCCAAAAACGATTCGCCCGGCGCCCCCGAGCGACCCCCAGCGCGCCGGGTTCGGGTTGGGTCCGCCGACGTCAATTTCGGCCCGAGCCGGCGAAAACTGGGCTCTTGGGGGCGCGACTGGGCCGATTTTTTGACGCCGACGGACGAAAAGACGCCTGGAAGGCCTTCTTAAAGGCGCGGCTGAAGATGCCCTTAGCATCGTCCTATGCGCAATCAGAATTAAGGGGTAGTGTTGCCAAGGCCAATTCTTTCTAGCCTTCCAGGACGGCAAGTTCCAAGCCTCCAGCACTGCAATACAAAGGCCCAGCACAATGAGCACATACATCATGGCATGCGCTATATCTTCCTCCCCAAAGTTTGTCGGAATTACAAAACAGCCCCCGTACTCTTCCTCCCCACCTCTCGCCTACCGTTCGCGTCCTCCGCCCGAGGCCTCCACGGGAGCGCCGGAGCGCACGCCTGATCTCCCCGCCTCCTCCTCCCGGCACCGCGGCCCCGGCTCCTAGCCCGCCTCACGATCGGGGGACGAGGCACGAGTAGGAGGGCGAGGGTGCGAGGAGATGCAGAGGGACCGAGGCGTCTCGGCGGCCGCTGGGGGCGCCGGTGAGAGGAAGCGGATAGGCGAGGCGATGGACAGGTCCTCCCCGTCGACGTCCTGGGGGTTCTCCGGCGGACGCGAGAGGGACCGGATCGCCGCCGGCAAGCAGCCGGAGGTGCCCCGCTCCGGCGGCGGATCCACCGCCATGTCCAAGGGCAAGTTGTCCGATGGTGAGCTCTGTCCCGCAGCATGTTATTTTACGTTGTCTGCTTATTTTGCTATTGTACTGCGGGTCTATGGCTTTGTTGGTGCGATAAGTTCATAGATCAGTTGTGTTCTCCATCTGGATGAGACCCTAATGGGGAGATCGTGCCCTTCCGTGGTAATTGATTGCGCTTTGTAGCTTGAGGAGTGTGGGGGTTAGCCTGTAGAAGGGAGAATTTGTGTGTTTAGTATTTGTGCACGAACAAGGGAATAATTGTGCGTCAAACTGTCAGGTCACTCTTGTGCAATCATTCATACCATCTTATCGTTGTGCTTTCATATCAGGAATGCCAAATTTTCTTTTCCATATGTTTTTTTATGCACTTATTATGCTTGCCTGCTAGGTAGCTCGAAGATGCAACTATTATTGATTGATGTAGATTTCTAGTTATGGTTCCCACAAAGCAGATAAGCATGGGATGTTGCAATTGTGGTGATCATGGGATGTTGCAATTCATGGTGATCATGGGATGCGGTGCCGACATGAAAATGTTCTAATGTTGAGATCAGTATCATAATTCATTAAGAAATATAGCTATTATTAATCTGATATAACCATTAAAAGGCACTAGCAGCGAGCAAGTGATTTTAAGGGCTGCTCGTTTGCTTTGGCATGTTGTCAAATCCACTTTGTTTGCATGTACACTGAATTTTTTTTCAGTTTGTACTTGAGGGCAATTTTCCAGCAGTCACCAAAGTGTTAAGTGCGGGTCGTGTGGCAAACCAGAACCTATGCAGCCGCCTAGGCAGGATAAATTGGCTAGGCAGGTATGGCAGCACCTTTTAGAACACTGCTTTTCGTGGTTAGGGGGGCACCATATGTTTGCTTGTAAGCTATGCTTGGTCATCCAAAGAGGAAAACGACTGTAATTTATGTGCATCAGATTGGCACGACAAAAGATAAAAAGGGAATGCCCATACATCCTGCAGTGTTTCAAATCACTTACCTTCTTGCCTGACTCATATCAGTTGAACAGGCTGACTACTAGTAATTCTGACATCATAATATGTATCTGTTGCTCTTATAGAATAACTTTGCTATGTTTCTTTAACCACGTTATGAATAAAGAACCGCCACAATTAGCTATGGATATGGTAATTTGTAGTCTTAATCACTTCCCTATTCTACCGTAGAGCCGCACCTAATCATTCATGATGTCTCTTGCGACTGAAGTCTGTGCCAAAGTTTAGATTTTATAACCTGCAGATACAATGCATAGGTAGCACTAACTGCCTGAGATAGGGGCACTAACTCTGATACCTGTGGGTACCCACTGTAGATGAAGCTAGAGATGAGGTTGCAGAATCTGCACTGCATCCGTGGTGTAACTGGTGTTTATGGAGTTTGGCCTTGGCTATTGCTGGAATTATATGATCTATATTTGTTACCCAGTGGAACGAAAATCTGTCTTTCTAATATTTGCTTAATGCTATTCTCTGCCACCATGTTTTTCTACATGTTTTGACTTAGTTTGCTGCAATAAATGTTCTTGGGGGTTGTTCTTGGTGTTTCCTGTTTCAGTAGTAATCTTTGTTTGCTGATTGCCTTACAGGAGAATCGGATACTGACAGTGAAGAATCAGATCTCAGTGGTTCTGATGGAGAAGATACATCGTGGATTTCATGGTTCTGTAGCTTGCGAGGCAATGAGTTTTTCTGTGAAGTTGATGACGATTACATACAAGACGATTTCAATCTCTGTGGGCTAAGCGGTCAAGTTCCATATTATGAATATGCTCTTGATCTGATATTGGATGTCGAGTCTTCACATGGTACCTCACTTATTTTTTCTGTTTGATATTTCAATTTGGAGAGAAACGTGTTATGAAAAGATTAAACAATCATGATACCTGTATGCCGTCTATAACTTAGATAGATAGCTGGAATATGTTAAAACTCTGTTCAATTGGTTACTAGACAGTAAATTGCAAGTTTACAACTGCCCTGGCCCTAGCTAGTTTCACCAGTCAACAGCTGGAGCTGAGCTTTTTGGGTGTGTTGTGCCTGCTTTGACAAAGCTTGGCCCAAGAAGGCTGCTAGGATGAGTGCATGCAAGCAGAAGTTGATTGATCAGCTGTTTTTCTTGGCTTGGCTGAGGAGCAAGGCTGTTTGACTTGATTGTGTCTTAAGCAAAGATGCATTTCACCGGATGGAGGAGAAGACCTGAATCTGTAATGCATATGGCCATATCTAGAAGTGATATTATATGCATAGGAAAAGTAGATTTTTCCCCAAAGGGGACACGCCTTAATTAGAAGCGAAAATCGATCCGGGGAGGTGGGGTCATGACCTTGTTGGCGTCCAGCGTTGCACCCCCAGAAGAGTTCTTGAAAAAACTACATGGGCATTAGTAAATTTGTTTCCTCACTATTGGCCTGCAATCAATCCAAGCATGTATATCTCAGTTACGGTTAATACATTAAATTTGCCACCACTCACCCCATTGTAATTATAATTCCTATCATGTGCATGCATAGCACAGGGCAATCGGGCAAGGATATCCATCCGTATATGAATAAGGATCGTACTGTAAGGGAAATAGTGATAAATTGCTATTTACTTGGGGATTTGATCCAGTTAGGTTTCATATTGTTAGGGAGGTCTTCCATCTCCCACCTTTACAAAGGGGGCTATCATGCATTCTCTTGCTTTCTTCTACCAACTGTTTTTGCTTAATGTTGCTGACTTTCTACAACGCTCTTACAAATATGATTTACTAATTTTTGTAATGCACAGGTGATATGTTCACAGAAGAGCAGAATGAACTTATTGAATCAGCTGCTGAGATGCTTTATGGATTGATTCATGTTCGATATATTCTTACAAGTAAAGGATTGGCTGCAATGGTGAAGCTTTTGACCTCTCCCTCCAGTACTAATAAGTTGTCTTCTGACGGTTAAGCTTTAGTGCGGTAATTAATTGGTTATTTGCTCATCTTATTTTTGTGCAGTTGGATAAATACAAGAATTATGACTTTGGCAGATGTCCAAGAGTGCACTGCAGCGGCCAGCCATGCCTTCCAGTTGGCCAGTCGGACATTCCTCGTTCTAGTAATGTGAAAATTTACTGCCCAAAGTGTGAAGATCTCTACTATCCGAGATCCAAATATCAAAGCAGTATCCTTTTTACTTACAATATATAAGCATGTGCCTTCTGTTAAGTGTCAGCATACTTTACAGTCATCTTGTAGCTTTTGCTTGCAGCAATACGTTCAGTTAGAATGTTTTAACTTATCAATTACACTGAATTGACACCCTGCATAATTAGTCATATCATGAGCCAAAATAATATTTATCATTCTCTCCCACATCTGTAGTTATCTTGATATGCTTTTGCTTTTAGTGGAACTAACCCCAACCAGAAGATAGTAAAAACACCGTCACATTTAGATTGGTTTGGAGAATGATTTTTCAGGTGATAGACAAGAAAACTGCTTCTTTTTAAATTTTCACATGTTCGAGGAGTTATATTTCTCCTTTGGAAAAATTAGGTTGCCTAGCTCTGTTCACTTCTTGACTCTTATGTAGACATTGACGGAGCTTACTTTGGGACAACGTTTCCTCACTTGTTTCTGATGACGTACCCACATTTGAAGCCCCAGAAACCGTCACAGCAGTACGTCCCCAAGGTTTTTGGCTTCAAACTTCATAAGCCATAACAAGTTTGAAGACTGAAGGTGCAAAAGGTTCATAGCAGAGTTGTCTGATATGTCACGCTGCACATCACTTCCAAGCTGCTCATTTGTGCGCGTGGCGCAGTTTAGCACTTGGTTCAGTTGGTTACCCGTGGCTTGGCCGAAACCGACCTGACCTCTGGCTGATTTCCCTTGTCCTCCGTTTTCGCTCTCGCCTGACGTTCTGATTTGATCCTTGTGGCTTGTTTAGTGTAGTAGATTTCTTCTATCCTGTTCTTTATACTCATTATTATATTTGAGTTTGGCAGTTGCTAAAAGAAGGCAGTTCGTAACAGTGTTATGTCTCTGCTGTGTATTTTTCATTTTGTTTTACATTAGGTTCCTTTGCCAAAATGTGATGGTAATGGTAATCTGAAACATTCGATCCGGCTATTCTTATTCTTCACCTGCAACTGAGTTTGTATGGAAAGTTTACCCCCAGAGAAAGTTACCTTTATGTGCTGTCATGGATGTTTTAATCTGTGAAATATTATTGTTAGTTTTGCTCAGAGCTTCAATTGCTATAAGTACAGTGCCAGTAAATAAAAAGGGCAGTCCGATGAACGTAGCTCCCTTTTGTGAAGAGTCCGACCACTTCGGGTCTTATACACAACTTTTTCCTGCATTTTTGCAAGAGTCCGACCACTTTGGGTCTTGTAAACAGCTTTTTCCTGCATTTTTGCAAGAAGAGTCCGACCACTTTGGGTCTTGCACGCAGCTTTTCCCTGCATTTCTACCAAGAGATTTATTTCTAGCCATGTAAGTACCGTTGTGAGGTCAGCATATAATAAGATAAAGCAGGCAGGGCTAATTTGGTTTTGATGATTTTTGGAGGATTCCCGAGTATTGTGTCCATATTGACCTGACTTCTAATATTCTTCGCGAGACCCTTGTGGAATTTTTCGAAGGATTACATTGGACATGACATTTCAATCCTTTTCCCATCTCTATGATTTAGAAATCCCGTTAAATAAGCCCTTATCGACATAAACACAAGGCCAAGAGCAATATTGACGGAAGTGCGTCTACAGTACGTGACTTGGTAGTAGCAGCTAAGTGAGAACCAACAAACAAAATGCTTCGTCACCTAAGGTTAGGATCCAGCAAACTAGCAGAAGAAGACGCTACGGATCTACTGCTACCCATTTTCTGCCTGCTTGGCTGTTCTGGTCAGGCGCACAGGCCAGGCTGCCTGAGGTTCTCCGGGTGCGGCTTGGACCTGGCACTGATCTCGTCCACGGCGGAGTCGCCCCTCTCCACCCTTATCGACTCCAGCATGCTCCCTAGAACCTCGGATGCAAGCCCTTGGTCCGTCGCCGGCTCCTCCCCGCCGTCCTGCAGCAGCACCCCGACCTCCGTCAGCGACAGCACGTCCTCCAGTATGACCTTGGCGAATATCCGGCCCAGGAACTCGGTCGCCTTCGGAGCGTCGGTCACCGCATCTTCCAGGGTTGAAAGAACATTCTGGAACCTGACACAAGAAGTAGACACTTATATTAGTTAGCAGCTTCGACAGCCAATGGCAGAGGGGAAGCTTGGTTAGTGAGCAGATGGATCATACATACCCCTGGAGTAGCACTGTCTGGCTCAGCAAGCTCTCCTGAGACTTGCACAGGTTCACCAAAAGTTTGGCCAGGAGCTCCCTCTCAAGGTCTTTCCTTTCGAACGAGTCGTTGATCCAGAGCGATACAAGTGAAGGGTAGAAGCTGGGGGCGTTCAGTTCCTTCATGCACAGGCCCACCTCCTTCTCGTCCTTGGCACTGGAGAACACCAAAAGTTATGCTAGTGTAAACCACGTTTTTCACAACCGAAGGTATCAAATGTAGATTGAGAAAAATATATCCATGTAACAATATCTTAGAATAACCACATAATCATACTTAATGGGCTGTAGCATTCAGATCATTGGACATTAGAAGACAAAGTTGAAGTATATGATCCCACCACCCAAGTTTAAGTCCTCTTGGCTTGAATTTGGGGTCTTTTCCTGATTTATTACTAAAGTAGAACATGTAATTCTTCCCAAATGCTCATTTTATGTGTTTTCAATTTACAGAATATTGTTGTGACTTGTGACTACTTTGCTAAAAAAAGTAACGAAAAAACACAGATGAACAAACAAAATAAACCACGTTTATTCTAAAAGCAGATGAAATGCTTACCCGACTGAAGGAGAGAGTAACCGAAGGTCTTATTAGAGTATGTCAAAAGTTCAAGTGAAAATTGTATCTGTAACATTGTTGCATACCATATAAAATAATTAATGGCTACAAGGATTTCTTGCTTACTGCCGTAGTACATTTACAATCAATATCAGGGATTAAAAAAATATTTAGCTGATTAACCAATTTGACAAGCGCCTGGGAAATAAAAGCTGAAGTGTCAAAACTTGGGTACTAAGAATAGACAGGTAGCTGTCAGCACCGTTTTTGCAACAAGATAAACAATAAAACCAGGCATTCTAAAGGATATAAGACAAGCACGAGTAAATTTAAAAAATAAATGTTAACTGAAACTTGCCTGTAGAACTCTTTTATGGTCAATATTGCTTTTTCTTGAAGAATCTCTTCCGGTAATATTATTGCTTCATAACAAATATCATTCATGGCAATGGAGGGTGTATGCATTTGCCCGACAGGGCTGGCAGTGGTCACTAGTATAGGCAAAGCATGATCTGCAGTTCCCCAGGACTGAATTTTAGGAGCACCGGCAGTGGCTTGATAATTTGTTTGGTTACTTGTTGATCCTGTAAATGAACTTTGTCTCGAGCTTTTTAATGTTTGACCATGATGACTATTCAAAGGAACCTCTGGCAAAATGTCATTTGAAGCTGGTGGCTTCCCACAAATTGACATTTCTTTTCCCAAGTCACCTTGAGGACTAAGTCGAATGGATTTATCAGATCGCCTTTGATGAAGTGGAACTGACATGGCTCTGTTTGAAGTCTGGTATCTTGTATCCAGATTAACATTCTGGGATCCATATACACGAACCTGTGAGGATCCACGAGAAGTAGAAGATCCTCGAACACCATAATCTGGTGGAGGCCCTGGTCTTGCTGATGAGCTAATGGAGCTAGCAGATGAGTTATAGTTAGGGGAAGAACCTACCCTAGTTGATTGGCTCATTTTCTGTTTCACAGCATCCCTTCGAACCTCCTCAATCTTCTTTGGCCCTTCAACTTTCCTTCTTTGCCTCCACTTGTTATTTCTAAGATCAATCACATCTTCAAGCATAAATCTTATACGGGATGATAACTTCGAATTTGCAGATAACTTCTGTATAATGTCAAAATAAAAATCCATATGCACCTTTGCCCTGATATGGTCAATCATCTCCCCTATCGTGCTCATCAATTTGCATAACGCCTCTAGATCTTCCTCATCTGGGTGTTGGTACTCACCCAATAGCTTTTTTATGCATTCATGCATTATTCTCTCAGTCAACATCTTTTTTTTGTAAAGTTCCCCAATTAAACGGATGTTCCCTAGCATGCGCCTCCGTGCTCGGAGTCGTTTCTCTTCCCTCTCATTTTCAGATTGTTTCATTCCACCCTCTTCTTCAGCCTTCTCAGCTTCAGCTTGCTCTCGCTCCCCTTTTTCAAATTCTTCTTGGCATTTATTTAAAAGAAGTCTCTTAAAGGTGATTTTCTCATCATCCTTCACAAAATTTGGCAGTTCACCAGCCAATGAAAAACAAAAACTAGCATACATCTCACAAAAAGTGGGTTCCATCAAGGCCTTGTCAAATATCTGAGAAATGACACCGTTAAGTGTAATAATGTTATCAATATTCAAAGCTTTGACCTGCTCGAAAAGTTTCTCAAAATTTTGTGGGGTCAACTTATTGAGAATTGCTTTCAACTGCCTTTGCTTTACCTCTTCCTCATCAGACACCTTACCAATTTCATATTTTTTCTCAGCTTTGTGCATAACTGGCATAGATACCTGAGATGGAGATGACATAGCCTGATTAGTTCTATGTTGCCACCTCTGATCAACAGAACCACGTGACATGCTGCGCTGACATGCTACTTCTTTCATAGCTCTGGAGAGGATCTCACCATTATACTGGTTGGGCAACTGGTTTTGTGAGCCATTTCTTGAAGATCCACGCCCAGAAAGTGGATCACGTCCAGAAAAAGGAGGATGCAATTTTCTCCAGTTATTGTCATTAAGCTTGTTGCTGCCCGTATGACGGTTAGCTTGAGAAATAGTTGAAGCTCGATCTTTTGTCCTTTCCCGGTTTGGATTATGTTCACTACCAACATACATTATTGCATCGTGAATATCAGACCCAATCTTAAAACCTTCAGGCAGATTAGCGCAGCTCTGAGCAAATGTTAACAGAAAATCTCTAGAGTATCTTTTCTGGCCATAACCATAATTATCTCTAGAGATTTCCATATCACCTTCCCAATCAAAAATATCATTTTTGTTCTGGTTATCATTACTACCTGCCGAACTGCCCATTTCAGCATCTAGTGTACAAATCTCCTTATCAACTGTCGAAGAACTCTGAATAACCTCTTCTGCACTATCAGAAGACTTGGGGAGTATTTCCTTTCTCTTTTTTCTTCTTCCATGCGTAGTTTTGGGTTTGGCTGCTTCCAAGACAGGTTTCTTTGTTTGCACCATTGAAGCAGCAGCAACAGAGCATTGATTCGACACCACTGAATCAATACTTCCACGTTCAATCTCTTTGAGAGCGCTAGTTGAATTGGATGCAATAGCCATAATCATGGAAATATTCTCATTGTCTTGTATACTATCATTCAGAGAACATGGTCCAATTTGGACATCTGATGAAGATCCGTTGTTTTTATCTGATGGTGAAACATTGCCAATGTGTAATGACAGATGCAAATCACCCGATTCAGCACATGTAGGAACATTCACCAATTTACTAACATCAGTACCATTGCCCGATCCAGAAGAAGCACCTGGCATATGCATGGTCATATCAACTTGTTCTGCCT